TTGTCCCTTGTTTTAAAGAAATAATGGTACCTGGAAGGTCCTTTAACTTGCCTGTATCCAAATGTGTTTACAGGTACATTACAACGACCAAGTAACTTTTCTTAAGTTTATCATTACCTTCACTATCACCACTGTTGCCTCGGTCGCCTCGGGTATCAGTCCTCTCAACCAGCTCACTTACATCATTTTCCCTACGTTTTAACTCCTCAAACTGATTCTGTTTGAGAGTGATGCCCTTTTCTACATATACCGCACTCATGTTGAATACTACTTAAAACGTATTGTCGAATAAAGATGGCAAAATTAGGCGGCGTTCAGAGTTGGTGTTCGGGCACCGTGCCTGAGCACGGTAGCCTCGGGGCAGTAACGTGATTACGGTCTTTGTTCATATACCCAACGCTAAGAATTCGGGCGGGGTGCCAGTGCCCGCGGCGTACGAGGTCGTGACCTAGTTATCGGGAGCTAACGGGCACCGGGTCCAGATTTTTTTCTTTCGCTCCGAGACAATGTACTGTTTTGTATCCCTCTGCCACACTCCTTTTCCAATGATGTCTGACGGGGCGAAACTGAGCAAATATGGGCGAAACTGAGCAAATATGTACACAATGATATAGGGTACCCAAGGTCTGAACAATGCCATTTTGAGCCGGTAGCTTAGCACAGTCTAGTTCTCGATACCGAGTTTGAACATCCCCTTATTCATTGAACTTAATAATTAACCGAATATAAAATTTATTGCTGAAATATCTGAGACAGAAAAAAGTTTTTCTAGAAACGAATATCCTAGGAGAGGAGGAAAATAGAAAAAAGAATTAATCCTAAATGTGCGTACTCACTTCAAACCAAACTAACAAACACCTTACCTTACGTGCATTTCTCTTCATACCACCCTCCAGGATAAAGGAAAGAATTTACATAGGGCAATGTTCCACAGTTACTAAGAACAAACTCCGCTGAGAAATCATTTAAAAAGTGTATAAACAATCCAATCGAAATTCAAAGTGATGTTTTATCCCAATGCGAGTCGTGTATCATATACAATCTATCATTGATGATTTTTGCCCTTCTCTCTTTCCGGATTGCGTCTTTCCTCTCCCCTATTTTGAAGGTTTTTACTTCATCCTCCCTCTTATTATTTGGTCGTTCCTTCTCCTTTAACATAAGATTTAAAATCACGCCAAGCAGATTTAAACTAAATAAATATTACAATTATAACAAAACGGGTCCTCAATTATGTTCAAATTATTGCTTTATAGGTTTGGAAAGAAAAGTTGAGCTCGTAAATAGGTTAGGGTTAGTCTGTTAAACTATTGAAAGACACGGCTGTTTATCCTGGGACGCAGTCAGTTGGGCATAAAATGTGAAATAACCGCGCAGACTCGTCAACCCCCCTAATTTCAGGCGATAACAGTAACGCAGAAAGACTCTAAAGTGACTCTAAAAAGCTGAATTAAGACTGGCGGAAATGTGGAAGATTTGACCTGGCAGGGCCTTGAAAGAAACCTCCGGGCCAGTGAAGGTCTATACTTACTACAAAACTATTCGAAGGATGTAAATTAGTCACGTTCATGTTTTTCTATAAAATACGCTAGTGAGCATTTTCTCCTTTTTCCTCTTTTGTAATTCATGGTTTATATAAAAACATCATGATAGATAATTTTTGGTATTCTTTTTAAATGTATTATGAATGATCCTTGAAGACCTCGTAGGTGGCTGACGGAGATTTAATTGTATGGTAACGTCAGCCCTTACGGTTAGAGTAATATCATAAAGCGGTTGAAGTTTCGTCCGGCTGAATCACCTTCAACGTTGAAAAACGCACTTTACTGAGTCGCTAATTTAAAATCAACATATGAACTGCAGAAAGGCATTAACGAGTTTGTTTTAGGAAAGTGTCACTTAAAAAAGAGAGATCACTGTATCTTAAAACTAACTGAGTGGGTGACTTATCAGCTTGGAAAGTAACTAAAGACGAAAAATTGCTTTCCAGTTTCAGTTCAGAGAGTATTTAAGACAAGTTCTCCAGTGGATTTTTATCCTGATACGACGCAAATGGAACTTAATTGTACCTTTAAGGGATTGCCTCGTCCTCGTGTTGCTTGGTACAATCCAGATAGTAAACTAATCATCAACGGATCTGAAAGCTTTTATCTCTACGAGCAGCTGTTTGGAGAGGATACCTTATCTTCTATTCTTCGAAATCCTAATATCCAAGAAAAACACCAGGGGCTTATAAATGCACAGGAATGAATAACATTACTGGATGGTCGAGTGAAAACACTGGGATAATTGAAATGCGTTACCGTTGTAATTGATCTGATTACTTTAAATAAAGCCACTTTTAAACCGGGGTGAGTTCTCGGGTCCAAGATAAAAGAAAGAATTTACATAGGGCAGTGTTACACAGTTACTATAAGAAGAAACTCCGCTGAGAAATCATTTGAAAAGTATATAAACAATCCAATCGAAATTCAAAGTGAAGTTTAATCCCAATGCGAGTCGTGTATCATATACAATCTATCATTCATTGATGATTTTTGCTCTTCTCTCTTTCCAGATTGCGTCTTCCCTCTCCCCTATTTTGAAGGTTTTTACTTCATCCTCCCTCTTATTATTTGGTCGTTTCTCCCTCTCCTTTAACATAAGATTTAAAATCACGCCCAGCGGATTTAAAGTAAATAAATATTACAATTATAACAAAACGGATTCCTCAATTATGTTCAAATTATTGCTTTATAGCTTTGGAGAAAAATTTGAGCGCGTAAATAGGTTAGGGTTAGTCTGCTAAACCATTGAAAGACACGGCCGTTTATACTGGGACGCAGTCATTTAGGTATGAACTGTGAAATAACCGCGCAGACTTGTCAACCCCCCTTTCAGACGATAAAAGTAACGCCGAAGACTCTAAAGTGACTCTAAAATGCTGGATTAAGACTGGTGGAAATGTGGAAGATTTGACCTGGCAGGGCCTTGAAAGTAACCTCCGGGCCAGTAAGTAAAGGTCTATTTAGTTTTCACACGACGTCACTAAAATTCAAACTACAAAGTTATCGATCTTACTGAGATTTTACTTTCACGGTGTATAAGAGCTGCTGAAAACTAATTTTCAAAGAAATTTTCGTTTCAGAAGGGTTCTTGGTTTTGTAATAGAGTTCGCTTGAATTTCTAAGCTTTTGCGTGACGCAGCATTTACATGACGGCCGAGAGGGCTGTCATTTAGGTTAAAAAAGTGCCTTTTCGAGGAATTTTGCTATCTAAATAGTTCGAATATTAGAAAAATATATTACTTTAATGTTTATGATTTCCTCTGGGGTAAATTCACGCTTTTGTAGCAAAACTAGGTAACAGATGTTTCTGTTGGTTTCCGTCAGCCATGTTGGCCGAGCTCATGCGAATGAGCTCCAGCATGGCGTCTCCGTACAAAGCTCTATAAATTTGGGTAAAACATTTCCTCGGATATCTCGAATACGAATTATTCCTTCGACCCAAATCTTGGCGAGGGTCGTTGTATATTTACCTCCTTTCATTTCCCAGATCCTGGACTTTATCTGTCGAATGGTTTTGATTTTTATTTTGATCTATTTTGAATGGCGTGACACTGAAAACCAGGAATACTTATTACAAAACTCTACCTGGTTTTCACATGACGTCATCAAAATTCAAACTAAGAAACTGCCGTCTCTTCTGAGTTTCTTCTTTCATGTGATATTAGAGCACCTTGAAATCTTTATACAAACAAATTTTCGGTTCAAAAGGGTTCTTTGTTTTGCGATACAGGACACTTGAATTTCCAGGCTTTTGGGTGACGCGGCATTTAGCTGGCGGCTGGGAAAGCTCTTATGTGGGTTAAAAACATTACGGATTTTTGGAGATTTTGCTATCTAAACATTCTTTGCCTTAGAATAAACATTGCCTTAATCTTTATGAGTTCCTCAAGCAAAGAATTCACCCATAAGTAGGAAAACTCAAAAACCGATGGTTTTGTTGGTTTCCGGCGGCCACATTTGTGCCCCTGAAAGAGACACAAACATGGCGTCTCCATACAAAGCTTTTTAAATTTGGGTAAAACGTTTTTCCGAATATCTCGAATATGAACTGTTGCATAGACCTGATTCTTGGCAAGGCTTTTTGTATATTTATCTTTTTTCATTTCCCAGATTCTAGACTTTCTGTGTTGAAAGGTTTCCATTTTTATTTCTGCTCTCCCACGTGAGTAAAAACCGAGAATATGACGGATGTAAACCAGTCACGTAGATGTTTTTCTATAAAATACCATAGTGAGCATTTTCTCCTTTTTCCTCTTTTGCAATTTATGGCTTATATAAAAACATCATGATGGATAATTTTTGGTCTTCTTTTTACATGTATTATGAATGATCCTTGAAGACCTCGTAGGTGGCTGACGGAGATTTAATTGCATGGTAACGTCAGCCCTTACGGTTAGAGTAATATCATAAAGCGGTTGAAGTTTCGTCCGGCTGAATCACCTTCAACGTTAACAAACGCACTTTACTGAGTCCCTAAATTAAAATCAAACAAAAATGAACTGCAGTAAAGCATTAACGTGTTTGTTTTAGGAAAGTGTCACTTAAAAAAGAGAGATCACTGTATCTTAAAAGTAACTGAGTAGATGACTTATCAGCTTGGAAAGTAAGACGAAAAATTCCTTTTCAGTTCCAGTTCAGAGAGTATTTACGACAAGTTCTCCAGTGGATTTCTATCCTAATACGACGCAAATGGAACTTCAGTGTACCTTTAAGGGATGGCCTCGTCCTCGTGTTGCTTGGTACAATCCAGATAGTAAACTAGTCATCAACGGATCTGAAAGCTTTTATCTCTACGACCAACTGTTTGGAGAGGACACCTTATCTTCTGTTCTTCGAAATCCTAATATCCAAGAAAAACACGCAGGGGCTTATAAATGCACAGGAATGAACAACATTACTGGATGGTCGAGTGAAAACACTTCGATAATTGAAATGCGATATCGTTGTAAGTGATCTGATTACTTTAAATAAAGCCACTAATAAACCGGGGTAAGTAAAACCAGCTAAATTGCTGTACCAGTTTTAACTGTTACTTAGACCCCTTTTTTTCAATCAGGGCCGTGTTGTTCAAAACTACCGGTTTTTTTAAACAGAAGAAATATCAGCTGTTGGCGCTAATCGGCCCTCAAACAGCTAGATCCAGGTTTATAAATGGGTACCAGAAACATAACGTTGGGGGTTGTCGTGTTGCAATGAACAGACATCCCATCCAGATGAAATGAAATATTGGGTGCTTCATGTTTTAAAACCAGCTTCTGACCTCCACTAACACGAGACATTCAGAGTGAAATGATTATAAAAGATAAACCAGTCGGTCACCTGAGACAGATGTATCCTTGCTACATCAATGATATACTTACCAAATACTATTACGTGTTCTAGGTAAGAGCGATTGTCCGGCCAGATACGAAAAACCGCTAAACAAAACTACCCTTAAAAAGTGGACAAAAAATGTTTGGAAACTATTCCCCTAGGAATGCAGTGACACAAAACCCGAGGAAAGGGATCAAGCAAAAAGTAGAACACGGAATACGTTGTTACATAGAAGACTCCAAAAAAGCAGTAGACCTGCACCGTTCTAAGAGACTGTGCAATAATTACCTGGAGGGCTGGGGGTGGGGGGGTTGGGAAATTAAGGGGGGCATAGGAGAAAATGGCAACAAGGGAGAGGTGGGGTTGGATGTAAAATTTAATACATACAGGGGGGGGGGCATTACTTTTTCACTCTTTTTTGCAAACTGGAAAAGTAGTGGAAGAGTTGTTAGAGTTCAAATATAAATACTAACATTGGAATAAAACTGACAAATTTATCAACTCTAAGGTGTTCTGATCTATGAACTTTTGTTTTCCTATCTGTCATGAAGTAGGAAAGGAATGCCTCTGTTATATATGTTAAAACAGTGCTACTTTATTGACACTAGGCTTTAATAAAACAGGAAACTTTAATTAAAAGTTGCAAAAGTAGCACTATAATGTTATTCAATGAAAAAGAAAGATGCCAATGGTAGCACACGTGGCATCATAATTTAGCAGAATGAAAAACCCAATTTTAATAGCAATACAAATTTAAAGTATGGTAAATAAAACATGTAAAAGATGTAAAAGCGCTTACCAACAAGCTGCTGAAAATGTATCTAAAGTAAAAAGGCCTTAAGATAAGTGGAAGCAAGACTGAGTTGATTGATCGAGTTCTCACCCACGCACGCGGGATCCTTAGTGCCAGAGATGCTGCAGAAGATGAGGAATCACCCAACTCATGCGAAGACGACACAAGCTCCGAGTTCAGTGATTCTGATGACTCTTCAAATGACTCTTCAACATACGTCGAAGAGTCATTTGAAGTGATGTTTGTAACAAAGGAAGAAATCCAACAAGTAAACTAGGTATGAGGGAATCAATGGGAGGAGACTTTTTTCAAGGGGGGAGGGGGGGGGTTAGCCTTAATATTATCATTTTTTTGAGGGGGCATATTTCGCCCATTTCCCAACCCCCCTCCATGTAATTATTGCACAGTCCCTAAACCTTTTATTTCACTGATCCCCTTTAATCTGCACCTCCATTGTTTTCAGGGATAGGGGCATTGTTATTTGACAATCCTTATTGTTTTCCCAGCTAATTAAAAACAATCTTTCAAATAGGTGTGGGATCGCCCCAAAAAAGAAAAAAAATGGAGAGGATGTAGGTGTAAATACCTAAATACATATATACCGTGACCTAATAAACGCCCACTAATAAAAGCCTCTTATCTCATAAACACCCCCTCCACGCTGTTAAAATTAGATTAGACGCGCATCTCTAATAAACGCCCGCTTTCTCAATAATAAAATTGGAAGTTGCAAATGTTGGTCTTAAAGGAGAGAAAGTAACAAGAGATAGGCCTCTTGGAGCAAGGGTGAGACAACAGCAAAATAAACTGACATATGGTGTAGCCTCCGGAAATCGAGCACAGGCCACATTGGTGGGAGGGGAGAACTGTTACCACCGAGCCATCCACGGTTCTTAACCTGTTTAGCAGACACAATCAGTTAAAAGAGTGCTATATAAAACACCCCAGGGTTGATAAAGGATTGTTTTCATCCACTCGCTATAGTAGACAATAGTAGAGAAGACGTAAAAGAGAAAAGTCTACGGACAGCTTCAATCGAATGGTAAAAAAGCATGATCATCGTGATGCCCCATTTGCCGTTTGCCATATTTATATTGTCACAAATTCTCAGGACTCAGTATGGGAGGGACTGGGAATAGGGCTGTACTGAAGCTGCGCAAGTGCAACGCAGCAAATATTATTTGTTTACAATATTTTTCACATTTTCGAATATAGGCTTGTGGCCTGGAGCCCCGTATATCTCTTCTCCCGAAGTTTCGGTGAAAGCCTTTAACAACGTCAGCTTAAAATGCCTGGCTGGAGTAAGACCAAGCGACTGTTACGACAGCAAATTACAGTGGCGTTTTAGCAACAGGTGGATGTCCTTAAAATCCGGTGAGAAGTATGAAATTCAAGAAAGGAAAACCAAGACAAAATGCAGAACAGATTTCATGATCACCATTTTTAACGTTACATATGCTGATGAGGGGATGTATAGCTGTGACTGGTTCTGCAACAAAGACGATCCCTGGAGTGTCTTCAGGAGTTCTACAATCCAGTTGAAAGTAGTATCAGGTATGAATAATTGTGTAATAATTAGCAGTGCATTTTCAAAAGTTGTTAGAGTAGGTGAAATTTTCGTTACAAAGAGGAGGGGGGCAAAAAGGATAAATGCTGAGAAACTTAGTGTAAATTAATGACAGATGAAATTTGCAACTTGAGCCTATCCAGTGTGTGCCGGTTACAATAAATCTTTCTCTTCATTTTGAGTTATTATTTTGCAAGGAAACGATCGTGCAATGTGTAGTTCCAGAAAATATCTACACCCCTCACGGATGGCAACTAGGGTTTGATAGATGTTGCTAGCATAATTTTTGGCATAATTCGTCATTACGAGCATAACTTTCAATGCATGTATTTCCCGAAAAAAGCACTGCTAGAATAATTTGCACTTTTGGCTAGTTTTGCAGCCCAAAATTGTCATGCAACCAATTTTTTTTTTACCCGAGATAAGTGTTACGGGCAAATGAAGGTAACAAAATCAATTTTTTGTCCGCTTATTGTCACATTCACGGGACCTGGGTCCCAAAGGTAATGACTTAGGATCTTTCTACAGGACCCAAGATATGCGCATAACTGACTAGCTCTGTTATCCAAGATAGCGTCCGTGTGCCAGTATTTTCTCGGAATTTTTATAGTTTTCAGAGACTGAATTATGCACACTTAAGGTTCCTATATGTAAATAGGGCAAATGTTTCTCCCCATTACTTGTTTGTTGCATTGTTATTGAGGTATTTTTACCAAATTTGAAGAAAAAGGTAGAAGCCTAATTTCTGCATATTTAGCTAAAATTAACCATAATTTACAAAAATAAGCTTAGGCAGTTCAAAAACGAGGCAACTTCCGAGGGGGTGGGAGTGGCTTTTTGAGGTGTTTTTCCGGAGGCTCTGGGTAAGATTGGTGAGTTATTAAAAAGCACAGCTGCTATGTTGAGCAAACTGTCAGCTATTTCCGACGATCTTTTATTTATGGACGGCTGAGTGTGTTTTGAAACAACACCAATTTAAGCAATTTAAGCACTGAAGCAAGAACTGTTGCATAGACCTGATTCTTGGCAAGGCTTTTTGTATACTTATCTTCTTTTATTTCCCAGATTCTAGACTTTCCGTATTAAAAAGTTTCCATTTTTTTTTCTGCTTTTTCACGTGAGTAAAAACCGAGAATTGGACGGATGTAAACCAGTCACGTGGATGTTTTTCGATAAAATACGCTAGTGAGCATTTTCTCCTTTTTCCTCTTTTGCGATTCATGGCTTATGTAAAAACATCATGATGGATAATTTTTGGTCTTCTTTTTACATGTATTTAGAATGATCCTTGAAGATCTCGTAGGTGGCTGACGGAGATTTAATTGCATGGTAACGTCAGCCCTTGTGGTTAGAGTAGTATCATAAGGCGGTTGAAATTTCGTCCGGCTGAATCACCTTCAACGTTAACAAAAAGAACTTTACTGAGTCCCTAATTTAAAATTAACATATGAACTGCAGTAAAGCATTAACGTGTTTGTTTTAGGAAAGTGCCACTTAAAAAAGAGAGATCACTGTATCTTAAAACTAACTGAGTAGATGACTTATCAGCTTGGAAAGTAAGACGAAAAATTCCTTTTCAGTTCCAGTTCAGAGAGCATTTACGACAAGTTCTCCAGTGGATTACTATCCTAATACGACGGAAATGGAACTTCAGTGTACCTTTAAGGGATGGCCTCGTCCTCGTGTTGCTTGGTACAATCCAGATAGTAAACTAATCATCAACGGATCTGAAAGCTTTTATCTCTACGACCAGCTGTTTGGAGAGGACACCTTATCTTCTGTTCTTCGAAATCCTAATATCCAAGAAAAACACGCAGGGGCTTATAAATGCACAGGAATGAACAACATTACTGGATGGTCGAGTGAAAACACTTCGATAATTGAAATGCGATATCGTTGTAAGTGATCTGATTACTTTAAATAAAGCCACTAATAAACCGGGGTAAGTAAAACCAGCTAAATTGCTGTACCAGTTTTAACTGTTACTTAGACCCCTTTTTTTCAATCAGGGCCGGGTTATTCAAAACCACCAGTTTTTTTAAACAGAAGAAATATCATCCGTTGGCGCTAATCGGCCCTCAAACAACTAGATCCAGGTTTATAAATGGGTCCCAGAAACATAACGTTGGGGTTGTCGTGTTGCAATGAACAGACATCCCATCCAGATGGAATTAAATATAGGGTGCTTCATGTTTTAAAAACCAGCTTCTGACCTCCACTTACACGAGACATCCAGAGTGAAATGATTATAAAGGATAAACCAGTCGGTCACCTGAGGCA